AATTCGATGCTACGTGAACCAAACGGCGTGTGTTAGTATTATTAGACTTTGTTTTCATTTCTGGGTACTTTTTAGTATTATTTATTTTTATTTTATTTTTTGTTTACGCTTTTGTTTCTTCATCCTTTACAAAAATACCCATTCATTTATTTTCAGTATGACTGGTTGTACAGTTTTCTGCAAGAGAGGGCAAGTGGAGGGAGGGGGAGAGGGCACATTAGCTTTTCAACGTGGCCATAATTTTCCGAAAGCTGGAGCGGGTCCGTGTGCGTGTGCGTGTGTGTGTGTGTGTGTGTGTGTGTGTGTGTGTGTGTGTGTGTGTGTGTGTGTGTTGTGTGTGTGTGTGTGGTGTGTGTGTGTTGGCCCGATGCCGCGGGCAAGCCAGCCGGACCACGTCAACTTAAACTCGATCCATCTGTGGGATGCGAGTAAGCGGCAACATGTTCTACATTTTTCCGTCTTTCTTGGTCGCCCCTCCACTGGCGGCGGCGTCTTACCTATACCCAGTAACAATGCCAGAATTACCCGCTGGTTCCGGCGGCTCTCCGTCGCTCCTTTCTAGTTCCTCTCCTTCTTTTTGCTTCTTGTCTGTTGCTACCTCGTTCGCCCGGTTTGTCTCGTTTTTTTTTAGTGGTTTTGGAGAGTCTTCAAACTGTGAGGGTGACCCTCTGCTACGGGAACTTGTACCATTTCACTTACATCCTCCGAAGAAGGCTGGTCAACCAGCCGAAACTGTTAGGAATAAATAAATATTTATTGTTTTGTTTCCTATACTGCACTATCCTCGAAGTTTATATATATATATATATATATATATATATATATATATATATATATATATATATATATATATATATATATATATATATATATATATATATATATATATATATATATATATATATATATGTGTGTGTGTGTGTGTGTGTGTGTGTGTGTGTGTGTGTGTGTGTGGTGTGTGTGTGTGTGTGTGTGTGTGTGTGTGTGTGTGTGTGTGTGTGTGTGTGTGTGTGTGTGTGTGTGTGTGTTAGCAACGCTCGGTGCAGATTGTAATGCATTACTTGAAAAATTTCGTGACCCTTTGATATGATTCTGCAAAGAATGTGCACCGGGCATTCTTAGCAAAGTAATAATGAAGGTGATGCGAGAGCTTACGCGACCATCACCCCGCCGCGGTGGTCTAGTGGCTAAAGTACTCGGCTGCTGACCCGCAGGTCGCGGGATCGAATCATGGCTGCGGCGGCTGCGTTTTCGATGGAGGTGAAAATTTTGTAGGCCCGTGTGCTTAGATTTGGGTGCGCGTTAAAGAACACCAGGTGGTCGAAATTCTCGGAGTCCTCCACTATGGTGTCCCTCATATTCATATGGTGGTTTTGGGACGTTAAAAGCAACATATCAATATACGCGACCATCAGAAATGACGCGGAAAGCTTTCGTAGCTGGTGTATAAAGGACGGCGTGTTCGACTGATGATCACACGACCGACCACTGGGCTGGCCGCTCTCAGTGAAGTTGCTTTAGACGCCTTTATTTCTTTCTTTGAAAGACTAGAATTTTCTTTGGAGCATGCTGACTAACGGATTTGCAAAGGTCGCGAACTCAAGGGTGATAGCAAAGTCATTGAAGCACCTCCGAGCTCTACGTATTGTAGTGATGTATATAGCGTTTGAAATAATTGTGTCAAACAATGCCGACCCCGTCATATTATGAACCAAAAGAAAAATAACAGTATGTTGGGGTTTACGTTCCAAAAATTATATGATTATCTGCGACGCCATAGTAGAGGGTTACAAGAGTTTCAGACAGTCGGTGTTCTTTAACGTGTGGTCCCATTGCACCGTACGTGGGCCCCTACGAAATCAGCTTCATCAAAATGTGACCGCTGCGGCCGGGATGAAAACCATGACGTACGCGTGAGAAGATGAGCGAGCACTTTAGCCATTTATAGGCAGCGGTGGACCACCAAGGAAAAAAAAGCCAGAAAAAAGTAACTTCCAAAGAAATATTTTCTGAAACGTACACATAAGCATACCAACCTACGGCCTTTCGGTTGACAGCGCACTTCGTAAACGATTCCGCCACCAGCCACTAATGATTATTTATTCATATCTGCTGGCAGTACGCAGAGCTCAAAGTTGCTTTAGCCTGTTTGCTCTCACCTTCAAGAGGGTGTGAAAGGTAGGCTTTGAATAGAACGCTGTGGTTCTAGCGTTCTTTCCTCTAGAATCGGGACGGCGTATATCCTGTTTCAACCAATATGAAAACATCTTAGAACGCGATAGCTATACATACGCCTTCTATTTTTTTATAGTGGGTGCTTGAAATAATTTTTTACAGCCTATTTTTATTAGATCACTACTGAAGCAAATCATTGGCGTCATAAAAGAATCGAAACACGTATTTTTTAACGGAGCTAATAGGTACCCTCCTCCTCCGCTCTGCCTTTCACCCTCTACTGCCCTCAACTCTTCCTTCAGCGCTTGGAGCTAAGCTCCGCCTTCACGGGGCATGCGTCACGACGTAACGTGAGAGAATGCTTGCGTGACGTTGCGTCTTCTACTTCCGTTAAGCCGAAGCCAGAGCAGGAACTACCGGTGGTCAGGCGCTGGACCACTGTGCGTTTACAGCCAATCAAATCAGCTTGAAACGATGATGTCAATAGGGAAGAGCGTGTCACTTGGTGTATGGGCGGTTGAAAACGGGTTTTGATGAATCGCAGCGATCTGCAGCAATCTCGAGCAATTCGCCGCTTTAAATTTTTATAATAGCTTGCACAATTCGAGCAGAGATCTCAAGTGGTCTCTAAATTACCCTTGACACATTGTCTACCAGCCCAATGTGTTTGTACAAAATCGTCAAAACCGTTTATTGGTTCCTTCAAGAGGCTTTGTCTATTTTGTTCCAACCAACGTGGCGGCGGCGCGGACAATGGGTGTCGCAATCCTTCTATGTTTCCGCGTTCACCATTTAAGACAATTGACCCCTCGAAAAACAATCGACCGCGTATCTGCGTGCTGCACCACAAATGTCTTCGAAAGGCGACAGTCTTCTGCCCACCGTCCTGCGCGAGTCGCGGTCTCATTCATTGCCACCCGTGATCCTGTTTTATACTATTCCTGCCCTGACATCGCTGCAGCTTTGTTCAAAAAGATTCCATTTTACCGCATAATCACTAATGACACGTCATTTATTCGTATACATCAATGACATGTGAGCAATATTTTGGTTACGTGTGGTACTGTATCGCATGGCAGGTTCTACGGTAGAACCATTTGTGAGTAGTCGATGCCTTTCATTGCGTGGATGCGTCAATGGCAATGTGCATGTACTAATGCAGCGCAGAAGTAGATGCCTGCCAAAGCAGGTAGCGGCATACCCTCGGTAGAGAGCTTTTTTGTGCACAGCATCGCAATTTGAGCACACCCTAAGAAACACAAGGGTCTTTACCGTTACGCATCTATGTAATTTTTAGTAAAGGAGCACTTCACCTAATCGTATTGACTGTGCGCCTCAAACATGCGTAATATTTGCTTTTTGATCGACAAAACCTTCGAAAGTATAAATGAAGCCACCAGTTCAAGATGGCTGGGCGTTCAGCAAGAGCTACAACTTTGGCGAGGTAGCTGAATAGTGTGACAGACAACATACAGCGACGCAGAGAGACCGACCAAAATGTCTGCATTCAATTATCCCAAGAAACACTATTGTCTTTTAAAGCGCGGTTGGCCAAGGGGGAACAAAGTGCACGTTCTGTTTTCATCTAGACGGGCTGTGGTATTCAATAACCTTAACATGCAGCTAATACGCTAATTTAGCCCTAACTCAGCGTCCAATCAGTGACGCCATTCTTGCTGTCACACCGCCTTTGCTGGCACCACTTTCACCGTTTACTACAGATACAAAAGCATCTATGACCACAGAGGCTTCCCTAATCATTCATCATGGAGGTTACTGGTTGGAATGAAGATATCATAAGCAAGCGTGACGCGTTGAACAATTCAGTCATGAAGGCATACATCCTGCAAAAAACTAACGACGTGCTACAGATATATTGATGTTACGTAGATCTCTGAGGTGCTTCACCGTTTCAGCGTCCTGTTCACTATCCCCTGAGAGATTGCTCAAGGACCAAATACCAGGCGGCACCTTCAATAATATTTTGCCAGAGCTGGGCTGGTCGCCTCCGATCGTGAACATTAACCTAGAGAGCCTGGCCACCCGTACATGCGCATTTGTCTCTCGAGTGGAGTTTGACGCATGGTTCCACACTTCATACACCCTGTGATTTCGTCGTAAAGATTGCATAGAAGATGGAGACTACATGAAGGTCACTTATACTATGGTAGCAGTCGTGTTTGCTTAAGGTGTTTGCTGTTAACCTTCTTTCGTATGTAACTCCACTTTGTTGCTATCTCTTTCATTCATTCGCCCTTGCGATAATACCTTTTTCGTTCGCACTTACGGTATAACAGTGTTTCTTCAAGATCACCTGATATTTCAGCGTATGTCCTACTTTTTACATTTTTTTCTTCGCCTGGAGGACAAATAGAAGTGTGGAGATGTAAAGAATACTCGTCACAAATCGAACACTTATTTTTTGAGCCACTTACCCCATCATCACACAGTTCGAAAGACTTTCTTTGTATATTTATCTATGAGCGCACTAAACTTCGAAGTATACTACAGCAAACCATAATATAAGCAACCTATAACACGAATCCTCTGCATGGTAGAGCATCAAAATTGATGTTGCGAACACCTTGATACTCGAGGATTTTTTCGTTTCACTTTTGATTTCAATCACCTAATAGAAGAGACCTTATCACTTGCTTCAATTGCTGATATGTGCATCGTGACAGAAAGTGAACAAGCTGTCTGTCATACTGAAAAATCACTTAGCAATATCTAGCGCAAGCTGAAAATGTTGTCCAAATTTGCGCAGCAGGCGTAAAAGTGATAATATGGAGTAGGCACAATAAATCATTATATGACGATCTTACCAAGTACAAGGCGAGCAAGAAATCTTGTAGAATGCATTGGGCATTTCATATTGCTTAGCTTTCCGAATGAAATTCCTGTTGAAAATAAAGTGTTTCGTTCCTTTAGAGGAAACAGTTATATTTCAATAGTCCAGGTGAAGCAAAAAAAAGCATGTGGTTGGGTTCATGATACTGTTTTATATACAGTTAGAAGACCTCTGTTAAGTATAATTACTGTGCTATGCATTTTTAGCAGTTTTGATCTCAAAATTATTATCTCTTGGCTCGACAAAGGCAGAACAACGCCTTCTAAATTGTTTCACTTTCTGATTTCTTTGCTTTAGCCTGGAACGGCATTATTCTCTTGCGCACGATATTTTCTGATTTTCTTGCTTTAGCCTGAAATACCGAAATACTTGTGCGAACGACTACAAATACAAGGGGTGAATCAAAGTGAAAGAAGAAGAACGAAACATTATTTGCGGAAAATACTTCGTTGCCACTAAAACAGGGCAACGCCGCGTGGTCGGGCCCTTATTCCAAGGCGACGCAAGAAAAAAATGTTAAAAAATTTTGGTAAACTTTCAATCACGTGCTCACAGATACTGCTAGTGGTCATTTCAAGCGATGAACACATCACATCAAAGAGGTTATGAATGTCAATAATGAAATGTATCAGTTACATTAACGACAGTAGAGCAGGACAACGCCCTGATTGATTTTTGCTTCCTTAAAGAGGTCATGAACCACGTTTTATTGATCTTATTCACGGACCTTTGCGTAGGAATTTCTAGAGTCAATTGCCTCATGACTTAATTTCGCCAAGGATATTTAGGATGTATCAGGAATGAATCAGGTTGCAGAGGTTTCTTCACCATTGTAAGCTCTGTATCTCTTCGCTCGTTCTAACGTGCACGCTGACAGATAAGCTAGTTAACCTCAGTGTTCGAGCTGTAGTAGGTAGTTCATTATCAAGAAACCTTCCACAGCGTGAGAAAAAAAAATTGAAAAACGAAGAGATAGGGAGGGGATAGCACGGGGAAAAGAAGCTATGTCAGTGCGTTATGACGTTGAGCACAGGTTACGAAACACGATCACTATAGTCAAGGTGGTATTTTTGTGTACCAGGGTAGCTCGTTGTGTAATGTTAACAGACTATGAATCGCTGCGCCTGCACGTGGCGTTACTCCACCGCGGCAAAAAGCGCATCACATCCAATTGATTCATGCCGACTATTGGCCCTTAGCATGCTACGCGCTACGAATGCGGGTGAGCATGGGCCTTTGTAGGAAAATAGGGCGCCCGAAAAAGTGGCATGTTCGCTCAACGTGAAACAGTGCGCCTAGGTGCGACATAAAGTTACAAGAAGCAGACATACACGGTGCTCTGTATGTGCGCTTCTTCTAACATATATGGGCGACGCTCCTTATGGTCGAGCCTTGCCTCCCCACGCACTAGAGGCGCCGCGGCGCATACTCGCTACCGGCGCGTGATCTCTCTCTTTCTTCTGCAGCGAAGACAGTACAGACAAGGTGGCAAAACTCTATGCGTAGCTGAGAGCTCGCAGAACGGCTGCTTCACGGCAACGCAAACAAGTGAATTCAGAGTGGCGGGTTCGCGAAGCTGCAACGATACGGCAACGCCGGCAAGGTGACCTGGAGTTGAGGGATCGCGAAGCTGCAGCGGCACGTGGGCGCCAACAATCGTATCCGGAGGTGGCAAGATTGCGCGTGAAGTGGCAAATCGCCGAAAACGTTATGTACGGCTACACACTGAAGCCTTATCACTTGCCCACTTTCTACCAGGCGAGGGAAACATACAGGAATGTTTGAAAAGTTTCTTCTGTGTGGTTCAGAGCGGGTAGCACATCCCCGCACTTCGCTCTCTCAATATGATTCACTTAGTGGATATGCGGGGAATTTCAAACGCACAGCATTTATTATGCGTACTCTAGACACCTTAGGCGCTTATCTACGTATCTATCTATCTATCCATCAATCTATCTATCTATCTATTTGTCTGTCTATCTATCTATTTATCTATCTATCTATCTATCTATCTATCTATCTATCCATCTATCTGTCTGTCTATCTCTCTATCTCTCTATCTATCTAGCCACCTATCTGGGTGCTCTCGTGTTTACACAATTAAATTGGGGGTCACGAAAATTAGTATGAGAGAGTAAGACGGTTTGACGAATATGACACGCAGGTCAGGTATGAATAATGTGACAATTCTGTCATGTACACCGTCAAACGCACAGGCATGCGGTTATGCGCCAACGGCGATTGACAGTTCGTGTACCTAGGAATAGCGAGAACAGTTTTTGCTAATTTCAACGCGAGAACATTTAGAAATGCCCACATCGGCAGCGTTGACCCACCGAATTCAAGGAATAAATATTGTAGGCATCTAATATGTCTTGTCACACGATATTATGGCTTCAGCTAGAATTGAACCCGAGCATTCTGCGTGGCAATAAATTATTTTACCACAAAGCCACGTGAGATTTCAATAATGTTTTGAAAAAATACACTATGAGGGCGCAACATTGATGAAACCTTATTTTTGTCTGCAATGCTTGCCTTGCAGTATTCATAAACATTACATAAAGAAAAACTTCATAAACATTACATATGTGGTACTTCTACGATACAGCCACATCATCCGGTTAACGCAAACTGTAGTTAGGCTACGTCTAAAGAAGTTGATTCGTTCAGCAGTTTTCAGGGCAACCATGCTCGCTAGCGCAAGCTAACATATCAGCTTGCCACTTCTGGTGCTGCTAATATTCGTGTTACTGTTGGCAACGTTACGCTAGTGTGAACAACTAGATGTATAAGTAAAAACTCTGCGACTCTTCAGCATGTGTTTCTGTGATCGAGTGGACATATTCTAAGCGTAATTTCGTTACATTTTGCTCAAAGAAGAAACTACATGACGGTCACCTTCCCTCTGCATGCTTCGCATAACGACGATTGGGACTTGCCTATATTTTGCAATACTTTCTTTTTCTATCCTTATGGCAACGCTAGAACTATGTCACAATAACATTAGTTGATGTGAACAGCCAAACTACTATAACATTTCGCTAGAGTGCAACTAACGTGATCGAAGTGTTGTGTCAGGATCTTGATATCCAAACAGCCAATACCTATGCCTATGCACCAATCTTTTTAAATAGGCCAACAATAATAATGCTACATTCATAATATAATTATGTTTTAAAGCCCCTTGACATCATCACAAATATTTTCCCACTCCTAATTACAAGGCTTTATTTGTCAAAAAACAAAATATAATACTACGGGATACCCCTATTGGGTCTATTTCAGTGAGCAATAAACCATGCCTAGATTAGAGGCATCCCAATAATCAAGGAACACGAGTACCTGTACTTCGCCCGTCAAAGTGCAGCCGTGGCTGGGAATGGAACCCATAAAACTTGCCTTGGCATCGCAATGCAAAAGGTTTGCATGGGTGCATTTTCAGGGTTCTCTGAATACTTCTAATACTTTTGCGTTTGTAGAAACAGAACATTTGACCCACGGTGACGACTGCAGTGCACGCTGGTGTTTGCAATGTGGGCCACCTATCAATCTCTGAGGACTAGCGTCAGAAAGAGAGGCGGACGCCACTACGAGATGTGACAACGCAGCTTTCTCTGCACGCGACATTGCAGCATAAATTCAAACTTCAGCTATATGTAGGAAATGAGATTTTATAATTGATGACCTTTTATGTCCCAAAATAGCTATATTATTATGAGTAACGCCGCAATGAAGATCTACGAAACTTTTTACTTTATGGTGTTTTTCAACGTGCGCCTATATATAAGTACACGGTTCTTTAATATTTCGCTTCGAATGAGATGTGCCCGCCGCGGCTGGGATCAAAACCAGTGGCACTCCTGTCTGTAGTAGAGCAGGTCAATGTGGCAGGATAGGTATACAGCGAAAATATTTCAAAATTGAAGTTTGCCTTTATTCTTTGTTGTTTATCGTACAGTCTGCAAAAGGAAAGAAACATAACCCTCGTATTCAGAAACGCCCCTGCACTTCAACTTGACTTGGCACCGCCTTTAATGCAGTACGTTTAAAACGTGTTTGTGCGTTTGTGCCGCTTTGGCACCGCCTAACGCAGCGCGTTCGAAGCGCGCTTGTGCTGCATCGAAAGCGGTGGCGAGTTAACTTCACGTCAAAGAGCGTTTCTGAATACGGGGTCTTCACTTCCTCCTCCTCGACTAGCTTCAACACTAGCTAAGAAGGGAAGATGTTTCAGATTTGGAATGCGTCCCTTCAATGACTCGAGTGCACGGTGTCAGCGCGAAATAAGAGCCGTAGTCCGGTGAACAGACGCTTTATTGCAGTCTCAGGTGTCTGGCCAACTGCTAGCCTGAATCTCCGCTCTCCTCTTTTCCACAATCAAACATCCTCTTTTCAACCCATGGTTGAACAAAGGTTTTCGACACAAGCCAATCACACGTGTGGGCTCGCATCACCGCCACCAATCGCAAAAACACTTTCATAACAGGCACTACATTGGTAAAAATCATGTTATGAGATATAAAACGAGAGGGGATGGGTTCTCTGCCTGTCACACTCTCTCCCATGGCAGGCCGTGCTGCCTCCGTCGGCTGACTTCCGTCGGCAGCCGTTCTCACGCTCAAGCCCCATCAGCTCTGTGATTAAATGTTGCTTCGTAGAAGCCTCCTTAAGAGCGGTGAAGACACCTTTGGGCTCTGTGCGCTTACCAGGTGTGCATGCGTCAGCGAGGTGCCCCGCCATCCTAACAACACTCGGTAATGACATACAGCGGGGAGGATATGCTCGTCTGCATGCCGCAATCATGGTCGGCCCAATCGTTACGCCCCCGCCGCATTCTCAACACACGTGCATGCCAACAATTACTTACCCCCAAATGCAGAGATGTTACTTGGCTCGCGCCTTCAACTTGACTTGAGTAAGTCGGCTTGAAGCAAGCAGCGGACTTCAAAACGCCGAAGTCAGCCTTTGCGAGATGCTCAGGCTGCCTTGCTTGGTCAAGTCAAGAACGAGCTTGAAAGCAGAAACACGCTGCTCGCCTGCTAACGAGGCTAATAATGAAGTGGTTCGCGTAAGGCACGTGTTACAGCAAAAAAACATACA